GCAGAAGCAGATCTCGAGAGTGGCGAAGAGGAGACGACAAGCACAATACAGAAACGACGAACAATACCTTAATTAACCACTGCCACACAGGACCAACGTAACGTCAACCGGAAGCGATGCAATATCGACGGAGAAGAAGTTGGAAGCGAGGAGGTGGACGAAGCACGCGCAAAAATACAAAAGGGAACCAAAAGAGAAATGCCCAATTTCCATGCAACAATACAAAGCAAAAGGACGAAGAAGAAGAGAGGGGGAAAGTGGAGAAGAAGCGAATAATATAACGAAGCCAATACCCTTCCAACGTTTATCGAGAATGCGTGTGCGTGTGCGTCTTAACTTAGAAGAAATGTGCGCCTGTGAACGTATGATTGAGCAATCGGTGCGCGTGTAACACGTTTTTATTCGGCAAACAACGTCTTTGTATACTCTCTGCCCGTGTTCTAGAGAACAGGAGGAATCATGGTTCTTGTATATGTACATCAGTATCTCGATAGTAGCCGTAAGCCTAACCAGTGAGTAGTCGCGGATTTGCCGGAAACCGTCGCCGGTGGGGTTCGTCGACCGAACAATTTCCAATTTGAAGAATACGCGTGCACGCGCGTGCGATAGAAAATTATGAACAAGTAGAGAGAGAGAGAGAGAGAGAGAGGTATTACGATGGAATTTTTTTTCTTTTTTTTTTTTTTTGCTTTCTCGTATCGAATCACGCGCGCGCGCGTGTGGAACGAGTCGACGCGAACAATTATTTCCGGCGGCGACGACGGGGACGAGGAGGAAGAAACGGCGGGAATCGAAGGCAAATCCGCGACACGTCGTCATTTAACATTACGTAGTGAGTTTTTCGATGTCTTCGAGCATAATTACCAGTTTGTACACGTAAACACAATACGCGCGCACAACAAGAACAACAATTAACAAGCAAACATTACTCACCGCCAGTCTGCTGTCATTTTAGAAGAGGGATTTATTGAACGAGAAGGGAGGTGGCCGATCGGAGAAGGTTTTTCACGCGAACAATGGGATTTTTTTCTTCTTCTAGCGAATAGAGGAGGATCTTGAACACGCTGGACGGAAGAACGGATTGGAGGAATTGTTTTACGAATTGCAGGTTGTTCGTGTATGGGGTCGAGTTAGCGAGGATACCGACGACTCCGTTGAAAAAGAACACGTTTGGGAGAAATTTCGCTCATTCATCGATTCCCATCTTTTTCATTCTATAACGTTTAATACATACACAACACGTACACACACACACGCCGTTTCATTGTAATCCGTTGGGGCGGCACGTCAGTGTGCCGCCGTCATTTGTAACGATATACGATTATATTGGTTAATAAAAGTTATCTAGATGTAATAATCTCCGTGTTTTTACGAATATCTCCCTTTTTCTCTTGTTTTGTAAATTAAATTTATTTTTCGAGCACTTTTTGGCTCGTCGTAAATGTTTTGCGAAATTAGGGATATTGATTAAGGCGGGGGTTGAATTTCAGCCGGATTGAGAAATTCCGTGACAGAACTTTTGAATATTAAAAAATAATCCTGTCTAATGATGCATAATACGACACACTTTGTGTTTATTTAATGATTTTATTCGTAATTTTTTAAAATTAATTACCTTCGAAAATTGTTGGAAACTATTTTCTTAACGTATTATTGTTTATTTGATTTTTTGACGAAATGTCGCTAAATTTCTTGGTCCGGACCACTGTGCGTCGATAAGAGCGCGGTCTGCAGAGCGCATGCGCGAATATGGATACCTACGGTGGATAAACTGTGCCAGACGAAGGTACAGGAAAATTGCAGAGCTCTACTTAACGTAAAAATTATAAATTAAACACTAAATAAATAAAACTGAGACGAACTTAAATCTACTTAACTATAAAATTCACTCGATATCCCTTAAAAATGTGCATTAACCATAAAAAGCAACATTCGTATAAAACGTTAAGTCCAATAACGAACGACAGATGGCGAAACCGTACCGCAAAGCAGGCAACGCAGTCCATCTGCACGCTATTGCACAGTAACGTACGTAACCCCTAATTGAATTACAATTAAGCAACGTCAGAAAGCTGGACGATAAATAACGCACACTTTACACAAAATACTGGAAGAAACTACCACAGAATACATTAAAAAATACACAAAAATACGATTACCATGTGTTAAACCGTGAAAGCTCACCGAAAGGTTTCCCCGAGTTTCCAAGAAGTTGGGACGCCGATCGACCGGGAAGAAGTATGACGTAATGAGAATCGGGCCAGAGGAAATAACGGGCGAAACCGTGAAGTGTCGAAGGAAGAGGAGAGAAGGTGGAAGAGAGTAAGAGGAGGAAACCGCGTGGAACGGAATCGAAGAAGGAAGAAAACGAGCCGTAAAATAGCATTGTAACGTG